AGTGGAACATAATTACCATATGGTTCACATCTTGGAGCAAAGAGGTGAAAGAGAAAGAGACATTTGCCTTTTTATAGGCTTCAATAATGCCACTTAATGATGTTAGGCAAAAGTGGGGTAATTATATTTCTGGTTCCTTTATTCTTAACATCATGGGAAAATGTATTTCTGTTTTGTTTCTTTTTCATTACTCATTATTATTATTTTATTTATCAAATATAAACCTACAAAAATAATCAAAAATCCTGCAAAATGAATCATTAGGTCTTTAAGGAATAATCTAATGAGATTGAGTTACCAAGTGATATACAGCATTTTGTACATTTTTGGTGTAATATTGATGTGCTAAGGACAAAAGAAATGATCAGATGAGATCTTGTTTTTAATGAGTCATGCTGAATGGCAGATGTATTTTAGATAAAATACAAAACTAAGTTTTGATGACATTCAATAGAATTTGAATGAATTATGCTTGAATTTTTAATAATTTCTTCCCAACCAAGGCGACAATGTCACTAAGACAAGTGGTTACTGGGAGTGAAAAAGGATGGGAAAACATTAATGAAGAAAAAGGACAATAAAAGAACAGAATTCAGGAAGACAGAAGATTGTGATTGATGTTGCATTTAAATTTTTGAAGATTGTAAGTGGCAAGAACACAAGAAACCAGAAGAGAATTCCACAGGCAAGAAAAGAAACTATTAGAATATAACTTATGATTTTCAATCTAGTAATGCAGTTGAGATAGCAAAAAGGAAAACACTTCAGAACAATTACCATGAATATTTATGTAAAATACCAATAAGCCATGTCAAGTTTAAATGCCAGGTCAGAATAGATTGTATTACAAACACTTTTCAATTTCATCAAATTACTGTTAATATAAGCTTATATAATTTTTTATCATTAAATAATTTTGTGATAATTTTCTTTATAGCCAGTAATTTATGCAATTTTCTTTTTACAGTTTTTAGTTTAAATCATTTTGTGTTAAATTTCAAATTATAAAAAGAAATTAAGTAATTTTGTTTTTGTTTATAATGTAAATTTAATTAATTTTATGTTCATTTCTTTCTAGTTTGCAATTAAAGTAATTTTGTGCTAGTTTTTGTTCATAATCTGCCATTTATATAATTTTGTGTTAATTTCAATTTATAGCTTGTAATTTAAGTAATCTTGTATTAATTTTAGTCTGTAATGAAATATTTTGGTGTTAATTTTTCTTTAGCTTGCAATTTAAGTAATTTTATATTAATTTCATTTTAGTTTGCAATTCACTAATATTGTGTTATTTTTACTTTATAGTCTGCAATGTAATTTTTTTATCTTAACTTTATAGTTTGCAATTTATATAATTTTGCGTTAATTTTTCTTAATTTAAATTTAAGTAAATTTGTGCTAATTTCACATTATACTTTGCAATTCAAGTAAATTGTGTTTATAATCTGCAATTAAATAATTTTATCTTAATTTTTTTTTTATAGTTTACAATTTAAATAATCTTGTGTTAATTCTCCCATTTTTCATTATAAATTATAAATTTTTCAAAGTGTCATATGTGTATAAGTGTGTCATGTGCCGGTAGTGTAATCGTCAGTGGCTTGAAATAAAAAATTGTTGCTCAAATTCCAGTCAAGTTCATTGCATTCACTTTTGCATAAATATCCTTGGGAAAAGCATGAATCCAACTCTTCTCATAAACCTCCCAGTAATAGGTTAAATAGCAGGGCTGACTGAGTTGTCTAGCTTTGTTTGGTAACCAATCCAGTAAAACTCTAGAATTCAAACCTGAGGAGGTCTTTTTCAAGATTTCCTGACAGTTTTCACTATTTCTCTATTATTAGTTCTTTTGGAAATTGTGGTTGTTTCTATGTAAGTCTTTACCATTATAATTAAATCATAATTGTGGGTAGTCTAACATTTCAGTTATAAGAACTGAATTGTTAAACCCTCAAACATAATTGATGGCTGAGGCCTCACATGCACACTTATACAATATTCACAAATTAAGGCTTCCAGAGATATAGTGAAAATATGAAAAACTCAAAAATTGTCAAGTATGTTTTTCAAATTTTACTTTTCAAGTAAAAAAATATAAAAATGAATTAATAATTGAAGAACCTTTGAACTTTACATTTGGAGAATATTTTTGGAGGATCATATATAACTTCAGGATAATGGCTCTCCACAATTTCCTATCCCTTGTGACTCTTAGCAGTTTTTCTCCCTTTGCTAAGACTCCTGCTACCCATTCACAAAGGCTTATCAGGTAAGTGGTTCACTACCCTATTCTATCTTTCTTACCACAAAATGCACCATGAGGGACTTTTCCAAGCCCTTTTTCCTCATTATGCAACTAAAGAATTTCTGCTGTCTTTGTGTTTTCAATTCACAAAATTATGAAAAGTAAAAGATAATGTTTTGAAAAATTATGTATCCCTAGTCTTGCATGTACATTGATAAAATTGTGATCTCACAATATACCATTTTTCTTTTCTTTAAAAAAAAAAAAAAAAAAAAGGTTTCTTCTGCATTGCTCAGACTTACCAGAACTTTATTTGTCCAGTTCCAAATGGAATCTTTCCTGATTTTACAAGCACTGGCTGCACTCAATTTTGGAGATGTCTTAATTGCATTTCAATAAAGGTTACCTGTGCACATGGACAACAGTTTGATTACAACCGTACACAGTGTGACCAAGATGCTAATGTCCAATGCAATGACCAACGACGTAGTTTTCAGCCACTCCCTGAATCTCTACAATGTAGAATACTTGCATTCAACCCAAGATTTCCAACCCAATATATTCCAGGGTTTTTTGGTCAAGGAGGCCCTCAGTTCATACCTGTTCAGCCGAGACAAGGTAAACTAAGTGTCTTTAACTATTTTATAATAACTTTTTCATAGTTCTGCTTGTTCTTTCATTTCTTAGAAAGTTAATAGTTACATTGAGCCCTACTATAACTTCAAATAAATAATGGACTATTCTGTTTTGATTGCAAGGAAACAGATATAAGAAAAGTATATCAGTGACACAGGTTTTAGTGAGAAAGAAAGAATAGAGTGGGAAGGAGAGTGAAAAGCTAAACTTTACTCAGAGCAACAAAGAATAGAAAGGTGGGGAGAGCTATGATTGAAATCTTTCATCTCCCTTATCTTACATAAGAGAGATGAAAGATGCTCATATGTTTAATGTCTGCTTCAGTGAAATAGAAAACCTTTTCAATTGGGATTTTTTTTCATTTGAACCCACATTATTTATTTTTTTAATGGTCTGTATTCAGATTGATAATTGTTATTACAATATTTTGTTGAAGTTTTAAAAATTTAAGCTAAAAGATTAAAATAGAATAATATGAAATTTTCATGGGTACTTAGATTGTAATTTTAATTCAGGCAGTTACTTCTATTTGTGATGTGCGATGTCCCTTCAGGATATGGTCAATCATGGCTCACCCCAACTTTCTATTCTTTGTAAAGTTTATATTTTCCTGGGTAGTTAGATTATAATTTTAAATCAGTCAGTTACTTCTATTTCAATCATAGTTCTCCCCACCTTTCTATTTTTTGTCGCTCTTAGTAAAGTTTATCTTTTCATCATCCTTCCCACTCTATTCTTCCATTCATTTACATATGCTCATTACATAAGTTATTTGCTATTCTTATCTGCCCTCTTACTATCAAGGCTTCTTTCCTGATTATGTATAAAAAAATTTCAATTGCCTCTTTCTGATTTTAAGTACAAGGTTCCTTTTTTTTTTTCTTTCTATTTTCCTTAAAATTTATTTCTCACTCAATACATTGAATTATTATCATAAAAATATTCTCTAATTTTAATTTTGCAGATCAAGGTGTCATCATTAACTTGCCTACCATTAATCCTCCGATCAACCATCAACAATGTATTGCAATACAGAACCAAATCAATGCTTTCTTTGCTCAAGTGATACAGTTAGCTAGTGGTCAAAGATGTCCAAGCCTTCAGTGTCCATTACCAATTTTGATTATCCAGTGTTAAGAACAGGAAATCTACACATGGACTAAAGAACAATTAACACATGTTTACACAATGGATTTTGAAATAACTTTCAGAGTTAATGAAAACAAAATAATATCTTAAATTTAATGAGAACATATAATCAAGTTACTTTAACTGCTACTTTATCAATTTTGTTATTTTTGAGCAGAAGAATTTCAGAAAACAACTTGCTTAATCATGATATTAATGAGTAACTTTTAAATTTGTGAAAAATCTTAATAAAAATAAAAGTGCTTGCCATTACCAATTAGGTCACGGAGACTGTCATCGGCAAGGTTCAATTGCCTACATAAAGAAAGCACACCTCTATTCTTGACAGGTGGCACATTTTTTTTTTCTTTGGTAAGACTTCTCAAACAGTAATAGAAATAATTTATTTAAAAAATTCCATTTAAAAATTACTGTGCTTAGGTTTCAGGTACAAAAATGAAGTTTGGATATATAGATTTGAAGAAATCCCAATGAGAGGTGTGCCTCCTCTCCCTCCCACAAAAAGCACCACCAACAACAACTGTATAAATTTCTAATCACCTTTTAATTGTCAACAGCAATCAGTTTACAAATGACAAATTTTTATAGATTTGTTTGAATGTCTATAAATAAAAGGTTTATTTTATCAGCATTTTTTTTTAATGTTTTAAATTTAAGAACATTCAGTTATCTAAATTCATCTTTAAGATAAAAATAATTTTCAATACAAAAAAAAAGAAATAAATAAAAAATAATTTAAGAAATTAAAATACAAATTCAACAAAAAAAGATATTGCCATTTACAAAAAATAAAATTGAGTTAAAAGTTTGCAGGTATAACAAAAGGAAAAAAATATGTCTGAATAAATATCGTTAATAACAGACAATCAAATTATGATTTTGTTCAGTCTTGAATTGGCTTTCTTTCCATTTACATGCATGTGTTGTTTTAAGAGATTTAGTGAACAAAAAGTTCTATAAACTCATTTTTCTACAGTGTTTCATACAGATGCAGATTGATCAAGTCAGTTTCTGAAGGTAACCTTTTACCAAGTAGAAGGAGACTAGCTTTACTCAAATGAGAACTGATATCAATTTCCTTCATCCAGTTATTCACTTTGATATCAACCTGAATAAAAAAAAAAAAAAAGGAAAATAAAACAATTTAAAAAAACAAACAAAAAAACATTGAATTAAAAAAAATAAAGTAAATTAATAACAAAAATTAAAACCAGATTAAAAAACGGAAAAACAAATTAAAACAATTAAAAAAGAAAAAATTAAAAAAGAAAAGAAACAAATTAAAAAGAAAAAACATTATAAAAGAAAAAAAAAATTAAAAGTGAATTAAAAAAAGAACAAAGTAACTGTACTCAAATTTTACTAAATCTTAAGCAACTAAACTACTGATATTAAGACACAAAAAAATAACTAAATAAAAGGAAATTACTAAATATATTTTGTACTATCAAGAGTTTGCAAATATAACTAGTTTATTTGCATTAAAATGTCTTTTCTATTTATTAGACCCAAGCATAAAAAATTGAAAATTTATTGCCAACTCTTGCAAAAAAAATTAATTGATCCCAGTTTCTTGTGTGTGTGTGTGTGTGTGTGTGTGTTTGGATGGTCTAGTTTAACAGATGACCTAACAGTACCATTATTTAACTGAGAATTGAGTAAAATAAAATAGTTTTGATAATTTTTGTAAATTAAAATTCATTAGACACATTCCTGTAAACATGATGCTTGTCAGAATTAAGCAATTATTTTCATCATTTTAGAAGGGGCGGGGATCCTGGTCATAATCTGGAAGGGGCGGGGATCCTGGTCATAATCTGGAAGGGCGGGGGGATCCTGGTCATAATCTGGAAGGGGCGGGGATCCTGGTCATAATCTGGAAGGGGCGGGGATCCTGGTCATAATCTGGAAGGGGCGGGGATCCTGGTCATAATCTAAATGCAGTGTCAATCCCTGACTTTTTTCAGAGTTATCTGTACTTGTTTTTATTTACAAATGTCAAGTTTATACCCAACACATTGATAACTGCATACTACTGATGCTATTCTCTCCTCTCCACAAATTTTGCTTCCCCCTACACCCAAAAAGATTAATTTAAAAAAAAAAAAACAACATACATTTTATGTGATTTATTTTAAGAAATTTATTTTATACAAGCAATAGTTTGTATAACGAAAATAATATTTTGAGAAAATATTAAAAACAAGTAATTGTTTAACAAAAATCTTATAAACTTATGAAGTTTAGGGTGTAGGGTAAAGTCCAGTAATATGTTCCAGGATATTATTAAAGGCACTACTTGAGTAGTGCCATATTGTATACACTACCTGAATTTATCTAAATGGAATGGTAACAGATTAATGTACTGCATATACATGTGTCTGAACGTACTCTGCATTTTTTCACATACATTTGACATGGTTTGTATGTGCTTGTGTATTGATATCTACAAAGTTTTGACTGTGATTCACTTTGTGGTGAATATAAACTGGATTAACTTTTATCTGGCTTAATCTTTTAGATGCCTTCCAGCTGTTAGAATAGATAAAAATGTTTCCTACTTCTATTTATTTATTTTTTGTTTACTGGAGAAGTGTGTCTGCAGACTGCTTACCCATAAATTCCAGGTAGGCAAACTTTCTGGAAGTAACATCATAAATGCCAAATAGCCATCATTCTTGGATATAATGAATCTTTCACATGTGCAGAGATATGTTAATAAAATAGTCTTTCAAATAAATTAATAAATAACCTAAAAAAAATGAATATATCCATTTATTATTCATTTAAGATAAATAATTATTGCTTCATGTGTTTGTGCAAATTCCTTTTTTAATTTTTAAAATTGTTTAAAAAAAAAAAAAAAAAAAAAAGATAAAATTAAGAAAATACTAAATCATGAAAAAAGACAGCAGTAATATACAATTAACAATGAAGTGGGCACAGTTTTGAATCTGATATTTGTAAATAAAATGATGGTAAAATTAATTGATTTGCCACTATTTATATTATGAATACATACACACACACACACACATACCCTTATAAAATGGTAAAAATATGCACACTCCAGCAGGATTTGAACCTGCATATATCTAGGCAGAGGGGAACCATTATTAGATCCTATATGACTTTAAGCAAAATTCTTCTATTAGATTCCTCAAAATTTTCATGTCTGCTCAGTTTTGTATCCAAACATAAAAGTAATTTTCTAGGGTAATAGATTTTATTTATCAATCCAACAAATTTTTATCACTTTAAACATTATTTTTAGTCTCTATTCATATTTGAATAGACAGTATATTTATTTATTTTCATCTACTGGCCTGAATATTAAAAAATATGTTCTCTCTGGCAGGATTTGAACCTGGGTGCCTTTAAGCAAAATCCTTCTCATATGAAAATTTTGAGGATTTTAATATCTGCTCAGTTTCATATCCAAACATAAACAAACCAATTTTCTCCCACATGCATTTAACATTTTTTGTTTTTACCTGTGTTGCCAGATCCACCAAGTTTTGACTGTGATTCACTTTGTGGTGAATATAAACTGGATTAACTTTTTTATCTGGATTATCCTTTCCTATGCCTTCCAGCTGTTAGAATGGATAATGCTTCCTGGTTATCTTGAAAAATGTATCTGAAGACTGGTCACTCAAAAATTCCAAGTAGCCAAACTGTGGTGGTGACATAAATATCAAATACTCATTGTTCTTAGACATAATGGCATCTTTGATAGTTTTTTTGACAGTAACTGTTTCTTTTACCTGAACCACTATCCAAGACCACAAAACCAAATTGGGTTGTTAATTAGTCTTGCAGAGCCCACTTCTCTCAGGTAATTAAACTAATGTATCATATCATTGTGATGCATTATTTGGGTTTCACATGCCCAAAGAAATGTTAATAAAACAAAGTCATCTAAATGAATAACCTAGAACTGTTTTTATATATATATATATATATATATATATATATATATATAAGGTAAAATAAATTCCATGGTGTATAATCCAAGTGAGTCCTAGTAAAGTAAAAATATTAAAATTAATCCACAAAAAGAGAGCTCAATGTATTTTATTTATACAGATCAATATAATGAATAATCAAAGAAAGTTTTTTTTTTAATTTTTTCTTTGATTATTCACACGCATATATATATATATATATATATATATATATATATATATATATATATATTTACTTTTTTCATTAAAAAAAAAAAAAAAAAAAAAAAAAAAAAGGTTTTTAGATTTAAAGATGATAAAATTCACATATAGAGAAAAAGAACATCAATATTATACTTATTAATGACACAAACACAGTTTCAAACATGACATTTGCAAATTATTTAAAGCCAGAAATATTGTATAAGAATTTTGTTTTTTGGGAGATAAAATGATTTTAGTGATACAAGTTTTATTAATTAACCCAAAGCTGGAGAGAGAAGAGGGGAATTCATACCTTTTCCAAAGGTATTTGCATGTAAGTGAATATACCAAACCAACTGGAATTGGAACTCTGCTCTCTGATTAAAAATTCTGAGCCATTATACATTACACCATTTGCACATACAATCTTACAGCACCTGGTATTTCCCAAACAGTCACCCATCTAGGTACTGACCAAGCTCAATGTTGCTTAACTTTGGTGATTGTACTGTAAACAGTGTTTCAATGTGATGTGGGCATAAGTCAAATAAAAACTAATTTGGTTGTTTTTGTTTAGTAGTGTATCAACCTGTATGGGTTATTTAATGCCGAAATCTAAATATTTTATACTAGCAGCATGGCCCAGCGTCGCCCGTGCTTGATTCAAAAATCGTACGACTCATACAGCAATCGCTATCACTTGACTTAAAATATTTTTGCCCTTCTTTGCCTTTAAAGGAGAGCCCTTTGCCATGCTGATGTTCCTACATGCTTTACTTCTTGCCTATCTCACACTGTGAATTTTTCTAAGCTCTATACTAAACATTAAATCTGTTACGAAAAAAGAACTAAACAAAATGAACACAAAACGATCAGCTTTAAAAAAGGACTCATAACTGGAAAAACCAAATGAAAAAAGATTGTTAACAACAAATACTTTTTCACACCTAATCCAGTTCTGCGGAATCAGAATCCACGTTGAGTTTAAGCAAGCGAATGAGCCAAGTGAAGTAAAGTGCCATGCAGAATTAAATTTTTCCCCACTTGTGACAAATGCAGCTTTCAATTTTTTTTTGCATGCTAGCATGCTAGTTAACATTCATGTCAGTCAACTGTTGGCACTCACGCTGGCCAATAGAATCTTCCTGCCTATTCGTGGCAGCCAGCTATGGGTTCTCACTCTGGCCAGTAGATAAAGGCCGCAAACTATATGAAAACTGCCGAAGCATGAAAAAAATCGATTATTTCCACTATCGATGGGAGTTGGGAAATGCAATGTTGGTCTTGGCCTTCCCGCTAACTTGGAGCATGTGCATGTAAATTTTGGTGCAAATCCATCGAAAATTGCGGCCATGTATTCGTTACACACACACACATCCTGACTTTTATAGATAGAGATGCAATACTTTTTTTTTTTTTTTTTTTTTTTTTTTAGATAATAAATTATAACTAATCACAAATAACACTTTAAAAAAAAGTTGGGGATCAATTTGACACCATTATATTATAAACAGGAACCCCGTTTTCAATATGATTTTTTAAAAATTTTGATCCGATAAACACTGCACTTAGATGAAGGTTTAATAAATGATAATCTACAAAAATTATCAGAGGGTAGACTAGTGTAACCTCACCAGTGACATATTTATCAATAGTTTTTTTATGAGAACAAATCACTTACCTTTAAGTACTTTAAGGATTCTTCAATACTAGGATGTGTAATCAACATAACTCCTCTACGAGTTACATGAGAGCTTAGAAACTGCCACACCCTATGCAAAAATGAAAACATAAGTTTTAAGTAATATACTTTTAATGCTAAATTATCCCAAATTATTCACAATACTGATACTTGTTTTAGAGTAAAGTTTTAAAAATATTAAGGCTCAAGTGATAGAGTATTAATCCTTCAAAATCTCATTGGGCATTAACAATTTTTCATCATTAAAAATTACAGCAGTCAAAATCATTTTTGTTATTTTATCAGAAAATTGAAAATACAATTCTAAATTACTCCATGAAGACATAAAAAAAAGCAAAATTAAAGCCTCATTGCTAAAGAACCATAGCAGTAACTTATGTGTTTTATATATATATATATATATATATATATATTTACCTGTGCATACATAGACACACATATAAACATACATTTGCACAAAATAAAAACAATTTAACATCAACAACAAACAAAAAACAAACTGTTTTTTATATAATCAAACAAACATCAAACTCTAAATAAAGTTAAAACACTAAGTAAAGTTAAATAATACAACCTACAAAAAATACTAAAACACTAAGTGAAATAATATAGCTCAATATATAGATACATTTAACACAAACACATATACAAAATTAAACACACAATACAGTTAACATGAACACACAAACATACGAACACACAAACATACGAATACGCAAACATACATGTGTGGGTGGGTGGGTACGGTTGTACTTGTATGGATGCATACAAGCATACACACACACACACACAAATTCCAAACATAACCCAAATTAAATGGTCAACAATAACCAGAAACAGACAAGTGTGAGGAAAGAAAAAAAAGAGAAAAAATAAGGAAAGAAAAAAAAGGAAGAGAAATCAACAATCAATCAATGGGGAGAAAAAATGAAATAGATAACACATTCATACCAATAAAAGCACAAGAGAACTGAGAAATAGCGGCAGATTAACTCTGTTCCAAGTGGTTGGACGCATAGAGCCACAAAACGCCAAAGTAAACAGGAATTAAGCGAAGAAAAACTTTTTCCATATTAATTCTATTAACACTATCTCAGTCTTCAATATTGAGCACATTAACACAAAACTTGCTTGCCTTAAATGCCTCCTTATCAGCAAACAAATGAAATTTTTTTTTTTTTTCTCAGATTACCATATTAGTAAAAAACGCACTCTCTTAAATTTTCAAAAAGAATTCAACCTTAGCGTCGCTACTACCTGGATTTACTAAAAAAACAAATTAATTTCCATGCCTGAGGATGGTTGTAAGTACAGCTGAAAGTACTAGCAAAATAAAAAAAAACTTATACAACTTGAAGTTATTAAAAACAAGGATCATAACATTCATCGAGAGGTTCGTGTGTTAATGTAACTTAATAAATTTGTTTGTGAAGATGTTTTTCGTCATTTATATCATTAACTTTACTAATCTACTTTTTGTATGAATGATTCATGTAATATAAATTGAACTGCACCACATATTTGATTGAGATATATATATATATATATATATATATATATATATATATATATATATATATATATATATCAAAGTGTAAGGTAGGTTAATTCCAATGTCCAAACATTATATTTTTAAAAGTGGTCAATACAGAGTAGAACTTAATAATATTTATTAAGAATTAACAAAAAACATGCTATAAACTGCTACATAAATGCAATCATTTTACAGCACTATAGGTGTTACATAAGGTGGTGGGGTTTAATGAAAAATGATTGTTTACTCTCCAGTTAACCATCACTGCCTGAAGAAGCACCTATAGTGCTGAAACATGATTGCATTTATGTAGTGGATAGCATGTTTTTTTAATATATATATATATATATATATATATATATATATATATATATATATATATATATATAAAATGATAGAAATTTTTTGAGATTTGAATAATTTCTCATCTCCTAGAACAAGAATCTGAAACAGAATGCAGAAAGCATTGGATGACCATTTCATCCTTTTTAAGACTCATCAGCATTGCACATCCAGTACTGGAAATCGAACCCAGACCATTATGATACAATTCTTGTTCTAGACTCAATGAATTATGAAAAATTATTCAAATCTCAAAAAATTTCTATCACATATACATATATACATACATATATCTCCTATTTTCAAATAACATGTTGAGTATTGTGATGAAAATTGTGAGTAAATTCACGCTGTGTTGTTTTGTTTCAAGTATTTTTGACTAACTTAGTCATTTTCAAGAACCCATCTGATGTCTGCAGAGTAGGTACAATTCCTTTGTCCATATCCTAGTATTCTTTAAAAAGCTGACCTCATTTTCCAGTCTTGATAGAGTTCAAAAGTGTCTCCAAATCATTGAGGGAGATGAATTATTTTCCAGACTCCAACTTCACTTTCACAGGTAGTGTGTAGTGAGTCTCTCACTGCTCTATTGCTATTTCCAAGTGCTCGAATGAACTGCATCTCCTAGTTCCACCAAGTCAGATCTTCATGCCTAACACCTGCCATGCCACTTACAAAGTAGCAAACCACACACATTTCCTCGATATTCTGTCTACAAGAAGTAAGTTTCACTCAAACAGCATCTTCTCACGAACCACTGTCCTATGGAACAGACTCCCAAGAAGATGTTTCCCTGATCATTACAATCTTAACCTGTTCAAGTCTATTGTCAACCATTATCTTCCCCTCCTATCCATATAAACTACTCCTTACCATAACCCTCTACCTTGATTGGCCTATATAATATATGCATGTATGTATGTATAGCTGGCCTCTCATTTTTGAGGATACCTCTCTAATAGGGTGGCTACCCAAATCCCTATTGCAGGCTCAGGTGCATTTGTATTTATTCAACACACAGAGCCCACCTATGGTTTATACTGCAACTATGCTGAGCAGATCTTAGTTACAGTTTCTGGGAGAGAGCGTGTTATCTAGAATGATCAGCAATTTGAACAAGGTCAGTACGTTCAAGCCCTTGGCCACAATGTTCATGCTAGAACAGCTATCGACGACCCCCATATATATATATATATATATATATGAGAGAGATAATATGTAATAAGTAAAAGGTTTGTCACTTAGCTGATTAATGTTACCTTCAACATCTAACTTCAGAGTTACGTAGACTGACCCTTCAGGAATCACTCTGTCCACTTCAGAGGGTATCAGCAATTGAGTGTTTATATTCCTCAATTTTTCTTTTTATATGAACTTCATGTGTATGCACCAGTCTGCACATGTGTAGAATGTTGTGGTTATTTGTACTTTTCATCATTTTTTTTTCACTTTACACTCACTCTTCATTGTTTTTTTTTACGCTTTTCTTTCAGGTGTAACTATTTTGACTTCTGGTTTTCCAAACATATACTGTCTTTGTTAGACTCCTTAATACTTTAAGTGTTACTGCTATGGTTTCTTTAGCAATTAGGTTTTTACAGATTAGAACTACCAGCCCCATGTCTAATGGTTTTGAATTCAGAATTTCCCCTTCTTCTAAACTGACTGCCAAGCAAAGCTAGCAAGACCAGGTTTTCCTGCTGAGAGAAGAGACTGATTTATAACCTTTCCCAAGGGTATTTATGCAAAAGTGAACACAATAAATTTAACCAAAATTTGAATCAAGTACTCCAATTTCATGTTCTGTGCTTAAAGATGCTACACTACATACATATCTTAAGTTACTACATTGTTGCCTCCACCTCCTAGGGAGTACTGAGATTTAAGTTTAAATTTTTATTTATGTTTTTAAAATATTTTTTATTAATGCTATTAAAATATTTTCTTGTATGCAATTTTGCATATTCCCAGACAAATTTTGGCAGATTTAGATCTAAACAATTTTTTCAACATCAATTATTAACAAATTAATGTTAAGAGAAGAAAAAAAATCCTAAATGTCTTAGTTTGTATGTCACTCTTCCCAATGTAAAAAAGTTAGAACTGCAAGATTTTTATACTTACTTGGTTTGTGTTTCTAGAGGCATGAAAAACTCAAACACATTGTTCAAAATAATTATATCTGCTGTAAAATAAATTAAAATTACATGTAAAGAGTGAGAGAGAAAAAAATCATTTAAAATTAAGACTGGGTATTGAAATCTGGCTATTTTTTTTTTTTTATGTAAGACTTCTTGGTCAGGCCTAGAATTCCTTAGCTCTCATTACCATATAGTTATTTTACTATTAATATTTTTACAATTAATCATTATATTTCTAATAATGATGGCTTCATATTTATATATTATAATATTATATTTAATATTATATTTATAGCTATTCATAAAAGTTTAAATCAACTCTGGGGAAGGTAAGTTTTGTAAAAATCATAAATAAATCAAAGGATGTTTACCTATGTTTTATAGATTATGAAAAAGCTCTCGATAAGGATTTTATAAATAACTGTTGAACTGTTAGGTAAACTTGACCTGTTTGGGAAAGGCATTAGAATAAACTGCCTACATATTGCTACAAAATGAATTCAGTAAATACACAAAAAATAGAAAGGGTTATAAGACAAGGATGTATCTTCTCACTGGACTTATTCAACCTTTACAGCAAAGCAATCCTGAGAGAATTGGAAATCCTACCAGGATTTATTATTGGTGGACATGATCTTAAGAATTTACATTATTTACATTGTCCAGATTGTTCTCCTTATCTTTATTACCATATTCACAACATTTCAGCCATTGTATGCTCTGGCCTCCTTCAGGTGATTAGATTTTTGAAGTGAACTCTTTATTTTGTCCACCAGGGTAAATTGTTCTAGTTCTGTGTGCCATACCTCATCTAAGATAAGCAGATGAGATCATATTGATAGCAGACACAAAGGAAACTGCATGAAAACCTACAGAAAGTAGTAAAAGAAAACAAGGAACTAACCATCTATTGTAAAAAGACAATGTATGGTTGTCAGCAAGAAGAACAGCCCAAGATACGAACTACAAATATGATGCCAAAATCAAGGAAATATGAATAAGTAAAGTTTAATGGCCTGTGAATGTTCTAACAGAGGATGGAAAATGTGACACTGAAATATGAAAGCACATTGGTATAGCAAAAGATGCTTTCCAAAGTTCAACAATGTATTAAGAAACAGGAAAATTTCATTAGAACAAAGAAAAGAGTACTAAACTTATGTAACGTCAGTCCCTATATATGGCAGTGAATGCTGAACAATCTCATCACATACAAAGAAGTTTGATTGGTTGGTTGTTTCTGTTTACATGTTTAACAGCCTATCAACTTCTAGAGTTATTTACTGCAGAAAGAGGCCTTGGAGAATTTGACACTCAAAAGACATATTGAAGGCAAGACGGAATGGGGAAAGCAAGATGGGGACCTATCTGATGAACAGTGCATAACTGACCTAATGAGCTTGTGTAAATGGATGGAAGAAAAATGAATTGGAGAGAGAACTAAAAGACAAATCCTAATAAGAGCTATAAAGGATAGGAAGTTGTGGAAAGCCATGATCATCCACATCCTTAAGAGACACAGCATATAAAAGTCATTGTATCTATGACAGTCAAAAGCCAAATCAAATCTTATATTAGTGGATACCAGTGTTTAAGTAAATGTCCTTTTTTTTTTTTTTTTTAACATGGAAAATTTATGTCTACCAGTCTGTGAACTGAAGAATCTTCATTTTTAGTGGCCATACTTCCACCTCTATGATCTGTATCCCATCATGACTCCACAATTTCATGTCCTTTCTAATTTATTAGATTTGTCTTTTTACTACCCGCATGTCCCTGTTCTATCATTCATTTACATAAACCCATTATGTAGGATAATTCCTGCTTTCCTCTCATTGTCAATATGTCATGTGAGTGTTAAATTCTCTAAGCCCTCTTTCCTAATAATGATGTGCTAGAAATTTCACCTGTATCTTTCTAATTCTAAGTACAAATAACATTTGTTTCCATTTTCCTTCAAATTTTCTTTTTACTTACATGTTCAATCAATGAGATTCTCAGCATCCTTCTGTAGAACCACATATTTTTTACCAGATGAGCATTAATTTTAATCATTTTATGGATAATATACATAGAAAATGTAATATTTGCTTGCACATGTTGAAGTACAAAGAATGCCACCACCTGACCCAGCATGCTTTTAAAACAGTTAACTTCAGCTTTCCTCTTTGGTACGTTGAAATTGTTAGATGTAACTATAAGTTCTATGCTAACAGTTTCTTCTGACTTCTTGCTTTCCAGTCAAATTTGATCTTCAAAAAATTTAAACGGCATATCAAACTTCATCTTCAGTCTCCTTCATTTATGTTATTTTATTGTTCTCTCCCCTTAAAAACAGTTTTGTCAGAATCTTTCACACCTAGTAATCCCTCATGTCTTAGTGGCATTATTGCATGGGGTAAAAAAAAAAAAAAAAGGGTCTTATCATTTTAAAGCTGAAATTGCTGGATGAAATCAAATTCTATGCTAACAGTTTCTTCTCTTGCACTTCTCACTTGTGGAACTCTTTCTGGCTTCCTGCTTTCCAGCCATCTTTGATCTTCAAAAATTTAATGTCAATTGTCGTCATCTATCTCTTTCATTTTTATTCTTTTATTATTCTCTTTAATAATGCTTTCTTTTCCTTAAATTTTTTTTCACTCAGTAACCCTCGGCATCTTAGTGGCTTTATTACCTTACTTAAGGTGAAATGATAAAAAAAAAAAATAGTTTCCTTAAAACTTCTTCATTTAGACTGAAACAAATATAGATGGATATGCCATGATCTATGAATCCTCTGCAGTTAACAGACAACCTGCCTTCTTCAGCCTATAATCTGTTCTTACTAAGTTGGTTTTGAAATGATTTAAAAAACAAACGAAAACCTCAAACATACTATGTGACTCTTATGACTTAACTCCAGTATTCTAAGTTATTATAGGGATTTTCCAAGCATAGCTTAAATGTGACACAAGGCCAAAAGTATGGGGCACCCAGTGAGGTTTGAACTCACTACTCAGTTGTAATTGTTCTAGTGAGACAAGCTTGCTTAACCATTACACTACCTCAAGGTGTTTTATTTTCCAAGCATAGCTTGGATGTGGCACAAGGCCGAAGGTAAAGAGCACCCAGTGTGGATTAAACTCACTACTTAGTTGTAATTGTTCTAGCGAGACAAGCTTAACCATTACACCACCTCAAGGTACCCTTCTAAGTTATTATAAACTGTGTAAATATGTAAGCATAAAGTGGTCAGATGTCATGTGATTGGTATCTATGCTCAATAGAGATTAATATACAAATTTAAAATCTTTACTTACCTTTCTCTAAGAGGTCAGCTCGATCAAGGATATCATTGTGATAGATCTTAAAGAAAAAGAAGTTATGAGTAACAGTGCTAATAGAGCTTAAATGCTTTTTTTGAAACAAAATCTTTACAGTAGAATACATCACATTTTAACAATTTTAAAATCAATTGAAAGTAATAGCAGTACCCATGAAAATATAGTGGTTTTCCTATTTCAATTTTCTGACAAAAATTCCTGTCTGAATGTCTGGGATTATGATTTATTATTTACATGCATCTTTGTTCTTATTACCATAGCATTTCAGCTGTTATGTCATCAAGCTTCCCTCCCCCACCAGCTTGTCAATCTGGGTAAACTCCAGTGAATTTCAAATTGAACTCTTTATTTAATCTACTGGATAAATTGTTCTCATTTCACTAAACATGTCTAACAATATCTCATCTAGTTCTTATTTAGCAGTGTTCAATTATTGCTCATACCATAACCACTAAGTTCAAGTATACACTGCCTAGCCCAGTAATTCTTCCCTGTTATTTAACCCATAAGTTGGGAGTAGAGAGATATATTTAATCTACTGCATAAATTGTTCACATTCTGCTAAATGTGTCTAACAATATCTCATCTATTTTTTTTATTTAGTACTGTTTAATTATTACTCATTCCATTACCACTGAGTCCAAGTAGACACTGCCTGGTCCAGTAATTATAACTGGTTATTTAACCTATAGGTTGGGAGAGATGGATTCATACTATTTCCAAGGGTATTAGTGCAAGGAACATAATTCACCCAGTATTGGAATTTAGCTCACTAAATTTTCATTCCATGTTACTAACCATTACTTTATGTGCACATTTTTTGTGCAGGGCAGTAATAGTAGAATGAATTAGATTAGAATGAAAATGTAAACCAAGAATTATGTAGAGGTTAATCAAAATTAATCAGATTGTGTTAGTAACAAGAATCATATCAAGTGAATCTACATCTACTTCTAGAAAAGTTGGTTCATTGTGTTGTGCCAGACAACTCTTCTTGTCAGAATCTCTCTTGCACATTTATAAATCATCCATGTTCATGCACTGAATACTCTATTGTATATCTTGAGATTGACAAAATTTAAAGAAGGAGTTTGTAATATAAATGATCCTGATCTGGCATCTCAGCTTCAGTCAATTTCTCAATGACATGACTTCCTTCTGTCGTTTTCTACAAATACTTTCATGGCAACCATTCTGATGAGATTTTTTTCCCTCTTAGTGTCTTGACTACATTGTGTTATTAGATTGGCAACTAAGCCTCAACATTTTACTGTTGATCTAGTTAGACACAATTGCATCTTCTAACAGTTTCTTTTATTGCACTTCTCACTTGTGGACCTTCCGTCTGATTTCTTGCTTCACTGCCACCTACAATCTTCAAAGATTTTGAATGCAACATCAATCATCATCATCTGTCTTACTGAATCCTGTTTTTTTATTGTTCTCTTCCTCCTCCTCCTTTTCATTCTCTCACTTCTTGTAACCCTCTGTGTCCTAGTAGCATTAACACCTTGCTTGGGGTGAAATGATAAAAAAAATACTTTTGAAGTAATACTCAGCTTTTTTGTCATTTCATTTGTCATTCAATAATAATTTAATAATAATTGTTACTCAAACATAAACTCACCCTGATTCTGTCATCAAACTGATATTTTTTGATAATCTGCTGTTGTATCTTACAAAGATTTTCATCAATTTCCACTCCTTCAATATTTGCATTGGTTAAGAGATAAGCCTATGAAGAAAATAAAAGTTACTCATTATGATAGAGAAAAAGATAAAGAAATATTAATTATCAGAAATTTCAATGCAGTATACTTCCAATGTGGATTTAGACCATACTTTTTCTAGTGTTAGTTGCATACTTTTGTTCAGAGAAGAAAGACTAGTAAAAGTGTACTTGTAAATATACAAATTTTAAATATAAATAAGACATTTGGCAACATGGATCACTGCCAACATTACAAGGACTTTTTGTTCATTGATTGATTTGTTTTTTTATGGCTTATCACCCTTTTGTAGATTATTTTAAAGCTAGAAAATATTTTTTAGATTGTATGAAATTTTTGGAGATAATAATGATTTAGTGATACAAGTCCTACTAATTAACCCATAGCAGGGGAGAAGAGGCGGATTCATACCTTTCTCAAGGGTATTTGTGCATAAGTGAATATAATGAACCCAACTGAAATTAGAACTCGGATCTCTGATTTCCAATTTTGAGCTATTATACCATTACAACAGCTGCACATCTAAGCTTATAACAGCTGGTTTTCCCAGATGGTTACCCATATACGTACTGATCAGGCTTAACTTCAGTGATAGTATGAGAACCACACTTTTTGTATCTGTCTATATTTCTGAGATGAGGTATTATGTACACTATTTACATTATTCAGACTATTTTCCTCATCTTTGTCGCCATATTTATTACAACGTTTTGGCTGTTGTACGCTCTGGCCTTCTGCAGGTCGTTGGAATGTCAAACTGAACCCTTTATTTCGCCCACTGGGGTAGACTGTTCTAGTTCCACATGCCATGTTTAATGGATGTCAGGACACATGGCACAGTGGATAAAGGTGTTAGTTAGATCCAGTGACAGGACCCAAAGAGTGTGAGTTCAATACCTGGTTAAGGCAGTGGAGAACTTGGAGAGGGAAATTAACAGGAGATAACTGATATCCATTAGACATGGCACGTGGAACTTGAACAGTCTACCCCAGTGAGTGAAATAAAAGGTTCAGTTCAACATTCCAACCACCTAAAGGAGTCTGGAGAGTACAACGGCCAAAACATTGTGATAAGTATGGCAACAAAGATGAGGATAATAGTTCGAATAATGTACATAGTATACTTTTTGTAATAATGTAAACATACAATGGAACCCTCACCCAGCCTTCCAATGACTGGCTATGACTACTCAACATTACATCTATCTTCTCATTCATGCCAGTGTGCACTGGAAACTAGAAAAGACCTACTGCATGTCCACAAGTTAACAAAGATGAAAACTTGTGCCATGTCAAGAAGCAATACAAACCTGGTTTCTACTGTTATAAAGTTGGTGGTTTTATTCAGAGCTCCACTTACATTTGGGTGGGTCAGTAAGTAACACATAAGGATAACTTCTACCATAACACAGGAAGTCATCAACCTGGATGACAGCACCCACCTGTTGGTATTTGAGTGGCTGCACTGGATAAGCATTGGACTTAACACCCGTAATTTTTTGTAGTGGTGGGACTAACCATGAAATCATCAATGGTAACTCTTTTACTGTAATTACTATATTCTCATTATTAATGAAGCACTAACAATTTGTAATGAACTTTCTATTTATGTATCTGTCTATATTTCTGAGATGAGGTATTATGTACACTATTTACATTATTTGGACTATTGTCCTCATCTTTGTCACCATATTTATTACAGTGTTTCAGCTGTTATATGCTCTGGTCTTCTTTAGGAATGTTGACATTCCAACCACCTGAAGAAGGCCGAACATTGTAATAAATATGGCGACAAAGATGAGGATTTCTATTTGTGATATATCAATAATATGATAATGAAATAACACACCACTATTTTCATAAAATACATCTATTGGATACTTAGGTACACATCATCAGTGATATTTCTAGCCAAGGTTCATTAGGAGTTTCAGAACTTTCAAGATCATAAACCTCTTGTGCTGAACCCAGCCAATACTGATCAGGTATCAACTTGTGTACTATCTGTCAACTAGAATTTTCTCCATGTTTTTTTTTTCTTTAAAAATCACACACTGTTACTCCGCTTGGCAATTTATAGCCCAATCATGGATAACTTCTGGTTCAAAAGCAATCTACACTCTTCCATAAAAATGGAAACAAATGCAGTAATGGTTTTGATCTGGTAAGGAATATGGTGATACACTTTGGCTTGGAGTGGTAAGTAACAACATTTTTTCCTCTCTGAGATGTATACACAATTCATGTTAATCATCCAATAATAAAAAAAAAGAAAAAAAAAGCCTCTTCCCATCTATCCACTGCACCTGTACATATATGTATATACATACTAACACACACATCCACAAAACTAACACTTGCAAGGGGGAGCAAACAGGTGCTAGATCTTAGCCACAGATCACCCATAGGCAACAATGGTTTAGGTACCCTAATTATGTCCCCTAGTAGAGACTCCATTGTCAGCTGTAGTTTTTGGTCATACCCAAGACCTACCTTGCAGTTTCCTCAACAAAAATTTTTTTAAAAATATTATAATAATAAAACTTATTCATATTTCTCTTATAAGAATAATAATTTTTGGTAATATTTAACCTTTATGTCCACAAAAAAAAAAAAAAAAGTGTCAAAAGGACAGTTATTACCTTGACACTACTATTACTGGGTATTTACTCTGTCTCCCCACCCCAATACAAGTTGCGACACAAGGTCTTTTTTTAAGGTGGGGACCCGACCACGTACACCCAGGCCAGGAACAAAAACTGCCCACAGCCCTCACAACCACTGGTTGGGCTGGCCTCAGTGCAAGCACTGATATCTCTCTAGTGCAATGAGAGGGCGCACCCTTGGACAGCTGTTCCCCAGTGCTGGGCATCTCTCAGTATAATTTTCCTCAGTTGCGACCGTCCTTTGATGGAGTCGCCCCTGAGTGATGATAAATAGATGTGTTACAAGCCACTCGAGGAGCAGTTTACACACTACTATTACTGTATACACCTTTGACACCCTCGGCATTGTTTATTGTTTTAAAAAACAATGATTAGAATTTTAAGGATACCCAAACATTATTTATATTTTGGATTTATGCATTTTCTTTATTAAACAACTTATTTATTAGATTGCTCATTTGTAAGATTATAAAAATATGTGAACTCGCTATAATAAAAATATTTATTATTTACTATTTTATAAAGAAATAAATATATAAAGAAATTTTTTACTTATAAATTTACAGAAAGGTCTGTGAAAAAGAAAATTTAAATAAACACGTAACAACGAGTAACTGTAATTATAAGTTTTGAAAAGATGCATTTTCTGGACATTTCTTTTATTTGTTTTCACCACATAAATTTACTAAAATACGTTAAGAACATTTATTCTTCTAAACCAAATATTCTTTTAATTTTATATCAATCCACAAACACTGAATATTTTGAGCATGTATCTCCCTATTCAGTGCTGGTTCATTTAATAATACTTTTTAATACTTAATATATAATACTTAATACTTTTTAATTATCAGTCAGTCAGTAATGTGCAATGTGTGATACTCGCTTAGGCGATTATGTATCTTTCGATACATGACTGACGAGGCAGAGTTTTTTCCACAGTAGGTTGTCATTTCTTTCTGCGGTAGACCAGTTGCTTTATAAAAGTTAATTTGAAAACAATTTCTTTTTATTCATGATTTTATAAAAATGTCTGTGAAAAAGAAAATTTAAATAAACATGTAACAACGAGTAACTATAATTATAAATTTTGAAAAGATGCATTTTCTAGACATTTCTTTTATTTGCTCTTGCCACATAAATTCACTAAAATATGTTAAGAGTTAAGAACATCTCTTCCAAAAACCAAACATTCTTTTCATTTTAAATTTTAGGCAGAAGCAAAAACATTCAATATTTTGATTGTATATCTCGCTATTCATTGGATGGAGAAAAGGTTTCCTTGTTTTTAATTACAAAATGTGTCTAATTTTTATTGCCTTGTTCTTCGTTTACATATTTTGATAATTTTATAATTTTTTTATAAATTTTTAAAAAGATTTTAAATTCATTTCATTAAAAAACGGTAAATAATAAATATTGCATTATACTTGGTTCACCTATTTTTATAATCTTGTAAATAAACATTGCTGAGGGAGTCAAAAGTATATACAGTAATTAATAGTTGTCTGAAAGGAATAACAGTCCTTTTGACATACAGTTTTTTGCTGGTATGAAGGTTAAACATTACCTAATTTTCATTACTATTCATTACTAACCAAATTAAGTAGCTTCATGAATTTTTTAATTATTATTGATGTACTCTCAAATAATAGCACATTCTATCAATAACATACTCCTTAAATCAAAACAAATTATGGCTTATATGTTACTAATGCTGAGTATATGGTAATAGTGACTTATGTTCACAGAGAGAGAGAATTCTTTTCCCTTGTTTGCACACATGCTGGTTAAACCAGCCATTATAAATTGAAACAAAGTTCTATTTTCATTTATCTTCATATTCTGAGTAGTTAAAAATTTAAATTTAATCTCTTAATTCTGAAATTATTAATTAATGGGCATTCCAGATTTCCAATGTTGAAAAGTGTGCCAATCACATGCTTGGTACAAACTATCTGACCATTTATACAACCTGATAAGTGGATGGTGATACAAATGGGTGACATTGGAACTATATGAAGGACCAATGCAGGACCAGAACTAACTCCCTCTATCTCAAGCATGACTGCTAATATAGACCAACAACCGGATATGCCCCATGCCCAGTTTTGTTGTCACTTGATCTCAAAAGTCCCCATTTACTCTTCCATTCCCCTTCAGTCAAAGTGGATGCTGCTAAGTAAACTTCAAAGAATCCATTCACTGGCTATAAGACAGAAACACTGGAGATCAAGAATGAGATAAAAATTGCATGGGTGTTTCAATCATAGTCACATTAAATTACAAGTTTTCTTTCTATGAAGATATGTCTAGGGTTAAACTTTAAAGGATTATTATCCTTTATATAACACACATAGGGTGTATTATGAATTTATAAAAAGGTACAATGATCTGTCATTAAAATGCATTGAGATTAAGAATTCAGCTTTGTACAATTAACCAATAAAGGGAATGAACAAATTGTAAATAATACCTAAAAGAAGGAATTATTCAAAGAGTAAAAAGTATAATTGTTATGGTAGGCAAGCCAGAAGACAAACCACAGCAATCAATAAGCAAACCATTGAACTTTTGTATTATTGTCATCTTCTCAAATGTATAGATATTGGCTTAATATTTGAATAGCAAGAAAATAAAATAAAATCATAAGTCAAAAAATTGCTTAACCAAGAATCATTTTTAATCTATTACCAAACATTCAAAGCTTCTGGAGAATACTTATTCAGAATAATACATATCCATTCTACAAAAAGGAATTCTCAATATTTACTGATTATTCTTGGACAAAATAGTATCCTTTTCATGAAGAAAAATGATACTCATCTCAATGGTATGTCCAAAAAGATATTAAGTCACTGAAGTAAGAAAGTTTAGTTTTTTGGGTTTTTTTTTTTTAAAATAAGTCTTATAGAATAAGTCAGCCTGAGAAGATAGATTATTAGTAAAATTATTACTATAAAGAAAAAAACCAATACCAGTTTAAGGACATTTTCTTATAACAATTATGGCAGACTAAAATATGGTAACACACACAAAGAAAAGAAAAAAGTGAGAGGGCGGGAGAGAGATAAAATTAGTTTTAAACCATTACTTACACCATACAACATTGGGCCAAACCTGGATCCAACATCTAATAACGTCTTTCCAGTAAGATCTGGTAACAAGTATTGGAAGATGTATTTTACCTGTGCTTGAGATGCTGAATGTGTAATCAAAGCTGGAAAAAAAAAATTCAACCAATAAAAAATGTAATAACACCAATAAAATTAAACCTTAACAAAAATAATTTAAATAAAATAAAAAAAGATTTATATAAACAAAAAAATAATGTCAAAATTTATATAAACAAAAAAATAATGTCAAAATTTATATAAACAAAAAAATAATGTCAAAATTTATATAAACAAAAAAATAATGTCAAAATTTATATAAACAAAAAAATAATGTAGAAACGAAAAATAAAAAATTTATATAAACAAAAAAATAATGTCAAAATTTATATAAATAGAAAAAAAAAATAATGTCAAAATTTATATAAACAAAAATAATGTCAAAATTTATATAAATGAAAAAAATAAAAAAAAAATAATGTCAAAATTTATATAAACAAAAAAATAATGTCAAAATTTATATAAACAAAAAAATAATGTCAAAATTTATATAAACAAAAAAATAATGTCAAAATTTATATAAACGAAAAAATAACGTCAAAATTTATATAAACGAAAAAATAACGTCAAAATTTATATAAACGAAAAAATAACGTCAAAAATTTATATAAATAAAACAAAAAAATAATGTCAAAATTTATATAAACAAAAAAATAATGTCAAAATTTTTATATAAACGAAAAAATAACGTCAAAATTTATATAAACAAAAAAATGTCAAAAAATAAACAAAAAAATTTATAGAAATGAAAAATAACGTCAAAATTTATATAAACGAAAAAATAACGTCAAAATTTATAGAAATGAAAAAATAACGTCAAAATTTATAGAAATGAAAAAATAATGTCAAAATTTATAGAAATGAAAAAATAATGTCAAAATTTATAGAAATGAAAAAATAATGTCAAAATTTATAGAAATGAAAAAATAATGTCAAAATTTATAGAAATGAAAAAATAATGTCAAAATTTATAGAAATGAAAAAATAATGTCAAAATAAAAAAATTTAACTAAAAATTTTTAAAATAAAAAGCGTAAGAAACTTAATTTCTTTTAATTTGAGGCTGCATATTTTATTAATATATTTTAATATATTTATTAATATACCGTGGAAATTATAAAAATGAAGCACTTGAAATCTGTACAAATCTATTCTTGTAGAAATTTAAATAAGTTACATTTTTATTTGCATATCTAAAAGGATATGTTAAATTAAAACTATTCAATAAATGCACATTTTATTTCAATAAGTTTCATATTTTTCCTTTTTAGCAGACTGATATATTTATACACTAAAACGATTAGTGAATTTACCCACCCTAAAAATGCTTAGCTCTAATAACTTGATTTCTGTAATATACTTACTAAAAGGACCAACATTTTTGGAATTACAGTCTTTGCAATAAGATAAACTGACTTTGCCATCACTTTCAAGGGTTTTCAAATCATCTTCTTCATAAAGAAATGCATCAATATGAACAGTTGTTTGAGGAGTACAGTCTGAATTCTAAAGAAAAATTGACAATACATAAATTACAAGAAAAAAAGATATTATTTTCATAACTATATATGTTACACAAAGTTTTCAGAGAAACACACATTAAAAGTAAATATCAGTAAAAACAGTACTACATTGTATAAGTATGTAAGCTAGTGGTATATACATATAGTCAATAAAAGAGATTTAAATATCTTGTCCATACAAAAAGAATAAAGATCTTGAATTGCTTTATAACATTTTACTGGTTCAGCCATAGTTTGGAGCCTATTAAATTATAATTTTGCTGTATATTTTATAAGTATGGGCTTTTGAGAAAAATAAGAATGAGGGATTGTGTATTCTTTAAAAGAGAAATTAGAATATTACTGGGCTGTGACACTCTGGTTAAGAAAGACTGAAGCACACTGGATCAAATGGTGGTTTCCCCTGCAAAGGTGGGTCCAGGTTCAAATCTTGCCAGAAAACACATTTTCTTTATTAAGTTTTCTAGAGATTGCATTCTGATAGATGTAATACACTTATGAATATAGTTTAAAATTCATTATTACAAAATTACAGTTAAAAGTAAAAAAAAAAAATCCTTCAATATGTCCTGTGGGTATCAAATTTTCCAAGCCCTGTTTCCTCATTATGTGCCCTAGAAATTTCAACTGTCTCTTCCTGATGTTAAGTACAAGTTTCCTTATTGTTTTCATTTTCTCTAAAACTTTGTCATTGGTCACATGTTCATTCCATGGTATTCTTAACATCCTTTTGGAGATCCATATTCCTGTTGCTTCAAGTCTTCATCAGTGAGAAGATTTCCCAGCATTCACTGCCATATAGGAGGACTGATATTGTGTAACAGTTCAGTATTCAATACTCTTTATAAACAAAAAAGAAAAAAAAGAGATTTCTGAATACTGAACAGATTTATATTTTGTAATACTTTGCTTAGCTTTTGGAAGGCATCTTTCACTATCCCAATGTACCTTCGGATTTCAGTGTTGCACATTAACCAAATCTAAATATAAACCATAAGAATATTCCTTCCAACCAAATACTTTCTACCTTTATGTAAACAAGAAACTTTTTTTTTTTTTTAAATATCAAAAGTTTATTCTTATCAATAAGAATGATTTTTATTATAGGTTTGACTAGTTTACAAGTTCTGAAGTCATAGTTACATTATATTTATTCCTATGTTCTAAACAGAGAAAACAAATGGTAAGTAGGCACAAACAAAATGTTACTTCAGTCTTTGGTTGCCAATCATGATCATTACAAGAACAAATAAATTATGTCCATACAATTCTGTTAAAACATAAAAAGATCAATAATGTTTAATATATACAAAACTTACAGGTCCAATGGTAGGAGAAACAATGTTTTCAGATGGAAATATTCCACTGAAGGGAATAATTTGTCGCAGATCATCACGAATACTTTCTAGAATTACATCAGTATTTTCCACATTGTCATCATAGTCATCGTCATCATCATCAGTGTTGTCTAGTAGGTCTGCAAAGAAAAAAGCAATTAGCTTTAATCAATTCAATAAAATAAAAAATATTTAAATTAAAGAAACAGTAGAAACAGATAACAAATTTTTGCTTCTCTCTCATCACAGTTCAATTGAGGAATTAGCTTTTACTAGAAATCCCCATAAAAATTTCATGGTTTTATTTTAATTTTCTGATGAAACTTAATTCTTAAATTAATGATTGAGTAAACTCATGTCAGATTCTACAATAATAAAATATCCTTAGAAATTCCCCTATGGCATTGTTAAATATTTGAGCTTAACAACTTTAACAGAATATTGCAATAATTACAAATATGGATACTGATTGTTATTTTAAGAAGTAAGAGGGTACAAATGAAAAGATTTGAAACCAACAACTTTTCCCATTTAACTGAAAGTCATTAAACACTTATCCTCCCTTCTTTCATTTTCTTATTGAAAGCAATTAATGTCTCTGATATGCCTTTCCACACAATCTAAATGGAATAGTCCATTATTTATGAGGTATTGGCAGGACATAATGGTTGTGCTAAGGGAGGAACAAGCAAAATTATAATTCATTTGATCTGAAGTCATCCCTCCCAGTAAATTCCCAACTTGAACATAATCTGTATCTTTAATTTTTTTGTTTTCAATACCATATTCCTTCAGCTGATTATGAATCTCCAGAGATTCCTTTTCTTTAATATATGAATTACCATGACTTCTTAGAAAGATGGTAGAGTGGTTTCCTATTACCTTCTCCATGGTTTTGAACTCATAGTAGTACTTCCATACTGTTTAATATCTTTAAGCTAGAGAGCCCACCTTCCTTGTTAAACAATCTATAGCTAAGGGAGAGATTAATGCCTTTACCACGGGCATAAGCGTGAAATTGAATGCAACAGATTAGAATGAAACTAACTTGGCTTGCCAGTTTCACTTTTCATTAGTCAGTTAAATTCTATATGTGATATATGTTTGGTCAATCATGTTTTTCAATTCATGCCTAAGCAGAAATTTTTCCTGCAGTAGGTTGCAATTTCTTTCTGTGGTAAACTGGTTACCAAGCATAACAATATGATCCAGTCTGCCCTGCTATTCAACCTATAGTTGGGGGGAGAAGCGATGGATTTATACCTTCCCAAGGGTTTTTGTGCATAAGTGAATGCAACAAACTCAACTGGAATTTGAACTCATTTTTTCATTTAGAGCCAATATCACACCACCGCTTTTCATGCTGACAAATATAATATTGCCTTCACATCCAATATATGTAAGATGAAAATATAAAAATCTGCTTATGCTGTACATGTTTAAGTGTTATCTCTTAACTATTGTTTTAAGTCCAATTTTTAATTTAAGAAAAAAAAAGTTTCTTACTCTATTTCTAGATAATAAAAGAAAGTGGATAGTTTTTTAAAATTTACATTAAAATTCTTAATATTTTTCTAGCTTCATGTGTTTTCAGAGTGAAGGATTTTCAAATAAGAGTTTTAATTTGTTTTCCTATTCTTACTACTTCCTACATAATTATACATTATTTAAGAAAATATGGATAACTGAAATCCTTACAAATTTTAAAATTGTTTTTTTTTAAATATCTTTTTAATATTTTGAAAAGGATTAAGTATAACCAAGGCAAAAGCAGGAATAAATTCTTCAGATTTCTTAGAACTTTTATCAATTTTAAAACCACTTAATGTTTTTGATATGACAAGTGTGTATATAAAACCACATATAGGTTTAAGATGGTAAGCAGAAACAGCATTTCTCAATTTTTAAATTCATCACATTTCTATTCATAAGTAGAGTTTTTTTAATCTTTTAATTAAAGACATTTAAAAAATTGAGAAACGTCAAGTTCAATGCTGTTTTCAAGAGTGAACTGATTTTAAAAGAATTTTAATTTGTTTTTTCATCTTAGCAACTGCTACTTTTTTTTGTATAGAAGTTCTAAAGTGAAAAAATGATAAATTATTTCTTTTGATTGTTGGAAAAGTAATTAATATGATATATGATAAATAACTCTTTAATACAGAATAATTAAAAAAACCAGACACATTACAAGCAATTAAATATTTTATGATATCAAACAGGTAAGAAAATAATAAAAAAATAGAAGTAATTAAACAAAAAAGTATTATTTCACTAGATTTTTCATTTTTTTCATACTTCTATGTAGTATAAAAAATATTCTTAAACTACTGGCCATAGAAGGTTAAAGAATTTATTTTTTAAAAAAATAGCAATTTCTTGATTACACTGCTGGTGTTCTGTATTTTGTTAATTTTTCATGCACTTTTGAAGTCAGGGTGAAATTAGAAAATTACTACTGTTGACCTGTAGTATCACATTAATGTGCATATATAAACATTATTTTGGTTATAATTTAAGTTAAAATAAGCATTAATTTTATAAAATTCAATGAATTAATCCCTAAATTTACTAATTTACTTTAAAAGACATTTCTAGGACAAACACTGGATTTTTAAGATTTTTGTCTACAGTAGTGGTTCAATGAGTGATGAGTAAACATGTGGTTTTAAAAAAAATTTCTAAAAACTTTATTTACATAGGGAAATTTATTTTCTTTCCATACAGATTAGATTTAAGCTATTATCTTTCACAGAAAGCCAAAATTTAACTTCAAAGACATTTAAGCTATTTAAAATGGATTTTTTTATTTTTAGGAAGTCCATTAAAGTTCTCAGTTAATAACTAATTTTATTTTTTAATGTTGATTCAGTCATAAATTAGAACATTTATGAAAAGTGCCTAACTTCTCATTCATGTTCATTGAGAGGGTTCAAAAGAAATCAAGTTTTACCTTGAAATTCAGACAGCTGAAGAAAATGGTTCAGATTCTATTAATTAGCAAAGATTAAGTTCTAAGAGACTTTTTTTTTTTCTTTTGAAGGAGAATTTATTTACATTGAATGTTTAGCATTTTATTTCTCATTAGCTTAAATGCTGCCCTATCAGGCGGCAATTAAACTAGCTCCTGATTAGGCCTTCGGATTTTTCAGGAGTTTGAGAGTACCTAAGTCTTTGCATATTCTCAGCACTGGAAGATCTTCTGGCTGCAATTTGATCTGGGTTTTCATTTGCACAGAACTTTCTTTTCCCCGTCGCATTCTGAAATGTTCTCCAGATATCTTAGCACTTTGAGAAACAAATTTAAATTTTTTTTCACTAATAATGAATTCCCTGTTTCAGGTTGTGTATCATTTTATCAAAAAGATTTAGGTTTTAGGTTTATTTTGTTTTACAGTATATCAATCTCAATAGCTTATTTAATACAGACAAGATTTTTAGAATAGAATATGTATTTTTTGTAAGAAATCAGTTTGTAGACCAGAAAGATTCTAGGATACATATGCATAGATTTGGTGCTTACATCCAGGAAAATCTTCCAATTGCAAAGGAATTTTCTCTCTCAGATGATACTTTCATGTGCTTTCAACATTGCACTCCTTTAACTATCTATTTCCTTCATCACTCTCCTTCTCAGGACTGTAACATATTAGAAAAAATATCTGACAATATAGAAATCTCTCTCTCTCTGAACATTCATCTGTGAACATTTTTGTGTCTGATAATTTTAATGCTCATGTTGCCTGTATTCAGACTTTCAATTCTTCTGTTGCAAAACCTCCCAGTCAAATACTGGATTTCCCTACTTGCTTCCCTAATAATTCCAATCAACATCCTTCTTTACTTGATTTGTTCCTTACTTCCTCTCCTAGCTCTTGTAGACCATCACAACTATGTACTCTTGGCAATTCAGATCACACTGTAGTATCTGTTGATATTTCTTTTGAGTTGTCTATTAGAAAAGATCCTCTTATTCACAAGACTTCTTTCTGTTACTAACATGCTGATTGGGATTCATTTCATGACTTTCTTTGAAATGCCGCCGAGATTGATATTCTTAACCTTCCTATTGAGAATTGTGCCACAGAGGTTTCTTCTCAGGTTAAAAATCAGCATCAATGCTTTTGTACCTTCTTGGAAATAAAAGGTGAAATTATATTCTCTTTTGTTCACACCAGCCTGTTCAACTGCTATACCTCACAAGAATCACCTTTTCTCGCTGTACCAGCATGATAGCTCTGAACACAACAAACACTTCTTTATGCCTGCTCATAATAATTCTTGTTGTGTAGGAACCTACCACCCCTCTTGAAGATGAACTTGTCTACAAACAAAGACGTTAAATAGTGGCATGTCAAAAGACAGTGTCGGAGAAGTTCTGGGCTGAGTTATAGACTATTCAGGCGATTTCTGTACCAACCGAATAAACCCCATTTTATTGTTACATGTTATTTAGCGTTTGTCTTTATTAACCCCAAATTAACATCATAACAGTGGCGACGAGAGATTCATTCATCACGCTGAGTGGAGAATTTTTCAACTCTAGGTGGACTATATAATTTTTTTTTTTCTCGCACTGAAAGAAAAAAAAAAACAATACATCGAACTTTGTTCTTCAAGAAGAAATAGGATTTCAACGTGCCAAAAAAAAGAAGTAAGACTTGTGCTTATTGTTGGATATATACGTGTTTTTCCCTTTTTGACTGTTTTGAAAAAAGTGTTTTGTGTAATCTATTACGCATAATGGAAGATTTGATTGCATTAACGAAAACTCTAGTGCAAAATCAAATTCTGCAACAAGAGCAACAAAGATTGCAACAAGAGCAACAAAAATTGTTTCGGGAACAACTATTGGATTTACAAGTTCAGCAGCGAAATGACACAAAGGCTTTATTTGAAGCAATTTTACTAAAGAATCCAGTAAATTCGTCATTCACAGCCGAAGGTATTGCTAATTCTATTACTGAGTTCAAATTTAACCCAGAGGAGGGTATAACATTTCCTGCGTATTTCAGAAGATTTGAAACAATATTTGAAAAAAAAAATGTGATGGTTGGACTGATGAACAAAAAGTGAGTTTACTTTTACAAAAGTTGGGTACAAATGAAAATAATAAGTATGCAATTTTTGTCCTTCCAAG